TGGAAAACTGGAAACAGTGAGGGCCAAAGAAACATTTGGTCCGGCAACATAGATCATTAAAATGTCATGAACAGGCGCAGAAAATAATCAAAAAAAGGTAAATGGAATTCTGGCCTTTATATCATGAGGATTAAATACAAGTATGTGGAAATCATAGTTAAGCTATAAAAGGGCTTTATTAGCCCATGCCTCCTGCCTTGTGCTCAATTCTGGACACAAACACCTTAGGAAGGATATATTGGTTTCTGAGGGAGAGCTGTGTGGGTTTTACCGGAATGACATCTGAACTCCAAGGGGAAAATTACAAGGAGAGATGATGTAAACTGGGGTTTCCTAGAGTTTCAAAGGGTACGGTGTGATTTGATTAAGAATTCCAAGATATGAAAGGGGGAACAGATAGAGACAAAAGACTTCCACTGGCTTGGATCAAGGGCATAATTTAAATACCGGAGCCAGATCTTTCAAGAGTGGAATTAAGAAATACTTTCATTGTATGAGGCCTTATATGAAAGAAATTCATGTTGAATTTTAATGTGATGTTGTGTATTCTAAAACAGGGTTGTTCATGAATATAGAAGGAATGGTTAGTAATTTGGCAGATGACACCAAAATTGGTGGTATAGTGGACAGCGAAGAAGGTTATCTCAGAGTACAACAGCACCTTAATCAGATGGGCCAATGGGTCGAGGAGTACCAGATGGAGTTTAATTTAGAGAGGTGTGAGGCGTTGCATTTTAGTAAGATAAATCAGGGCAGGACTTATATGCTTAATGATAGGGCCATTGGGCAAGTTGCCAAACAAATTGAGGTCGGGGGTGCAGGTTGATAGTTCCTTGAAAGTAGAGTCGCAGGTAGACAGAAGAGAGAAGAAGCCATTTGGTATGCTTGCCTAAATTGGTCAGTGTGTTTAATATAGGAGTTGGGAGGTCATGTTGCAGCTGTACAGGACATTGCTTAGGTCACTTTTGAATACTTTGTGCAATTCTGGTCTCCATGCTGTAGAAAGAATGTTGTCAAACTTGAAAGCATGCAGAAAACATTTCCAAGGACGTTGCTGGGTTGGAGGGTTTGAGCTACAGGGAGATGCTGAAAAGGCTGGGGCTGTTTTCCCTGGTGCCTTCCAGGCTGAGGAATGACCTTTTATCGGTCTATAAATTCATGAGGTTCATGAATAGAGTGAACAGCCAAAGTATTTTTCCCAGTGTAGGGGAGTCCAAAACTAGAAGACATGGTTTAAGGTAAGAGAGGAAACATTTCAAAGGCACCAAAGGGGAGACCTTTTCACACAGAGGGTGGTGCGTGTATGGAATGAGCTGCCAGAGGAAGTGATAGAGGGCTGGTACAGTCACAACATTTAAAAGGCACCTGGATGGGTATACAAATAGGAAGGGTTTCGAGGGATATGGGTCAAATGCTGGCAAGTGGGATGAGATTAATTTAGTATATCTGGTCAGCATGAACAAGTTGGACCAAAGGGACTGTTTCTGTGCTGTACATCTCTACGACTGTGACTCTAAATCCAAACAAGGGAACGTATGAGGAATGTATGAGGAGGCAAGTTTGTTACTGAGGATTGGGAAAAATACATAATAAGATTTTGTAACTGACAGGCAAAGGATAGCATTTAAAGAAATACCACATAGTCTACAACAGATAAACACCCCTTTAAAGCATAAACAATAACGTGAGAATGTGAGCTGCTGATAGCTAACAAAAGAATTTACAGATTGCATATATCAAAGGAAATGACTCACTATGATAGTGCACTTTAGAACCCTATAAAGGCTGACAAGGAAACTGAGAAAGGAAAGTAAAGGAGAATACAATCTAGTAAAAAGCATAAATGTAAACTGTAAAATCTTATTTAGGTAAATGATGAGAAAAGGATTAACTAGGAAAAACATGACCTATCACAAGTGGAGATCGGAGAAATTATAATGGCAACTGGGAAGTGATGGAGAGGGAAGGGATAACTACCAGGCAGTTTGAGAAAACCAGGCAGCGAGTCCAGCTATCCCCTGAGCCTGTTGTGGTTGAAAATCAATGCTCCTTTTTGGAAACTGGTGAAGGCAATGGTTCCTCAGGAGAGTCTAACGAAGGCCAAACCCATGGCATCATGGGTGAGTCAGCTGGGGAGGAGGAAGACCTCTAAAGTTACAACAAATGGCAGCAATTCTGAGGATTAGGAGATTTATAGAGGAGAATCTAGAAACTGATAAATAAAGGGAGAATAGCATATGAATGCAATCTCGTACACAAAAAATGAAAACGGACTGTAAAAGCCTCAGTAGGTACATAAGAAGTACATATTTGGCTAAACACATGTGGGTCCAGTAAAGACATAGTCAGGAGAATTTATGATGGGGAATAGAGAAATGGCAGGGAATCTAAATTATCACCTTGCGTCTGTTTTCACTGAGAAAGATGCAAGGAATCTCACAGAAGTAGAGATGCAAGTGGCTAGGAAGAATGAGGAATTGAAGGAAATTTGCATTGATAAGAATATTGTACTGGAGAAATTAAAGAGGTTGAAAGTTGATAAATCCCCAGGACTCGATGATCTTCACCCAAGAATATTGAAGAAGATGGCTATTGAGACTGTCGATCCTTTGGTGATTATCTTCCAAAATGTTCGAGATTCGAGAATGTTTCCTGTGGATTGGAAGGTAGCAAGTGTCAGCCCACGATTTAGGAAGGGAGCGAGAGAGTAAACAGTGAACTATAGAACTATTTGCCTTGCATCAGTAGTAGGGAAAATGCGAGAAATTGTTATAAAGGATGTGATAAATAGACACCTGATTGTTAATGATCTGATTGGGCATAGTCAGTATGGATTTGTGATAAGATATTATATTTGTTGCACTTGAGTTAGTAACAAAACTGGTAAAGAAGAGTTAATAGATGTAGTAAATGTTGATTATTGGAAGATTTTTGATGAATTCCCCCATAGAAGGCCGGCTTGAAAGATTGAAGCACATGGGATAAGAGAAAATTCATGGCTAAGGATTAATGATTGGCTAACAAACAGAAAACAATGTCGGAATAATTGGACCATTCTTGTGCTGGCAGGCAATGACTAGTGGAGAGTACCATGAGGATCAGTACTGGGCCTCATCTATTCACAAAATGTATAAAAGATTTGGAGGTGGGGACAAAATGTAATATTTCCACATTTGCAGAAGATACAAAGCTGAGTGTGTTTTGTGAGGTTCATGTAAAGTGATTCAGAAGTTTTTGGACAGGCTAAGTGATTGGACATGACCATGGCAGAAGGAATATAATGTGGAAAAATGTGAGGTTATCTACTTTGGGAGGAGAATACATGTGCAGAATAATTCTTAAGTGGTGAGAGGTTAGAGTGTGTATGTGGTCAACAGGAAGTTGTTGATAAGTTCTGAAGGCTAATATGCTGGTACAGCAAGCTATTAGGAGGGCTAATGGAATTTATTGCAAGAAGATGTAAGTACAGGAGTAGTGAAGGCTTGCTTCACACCACATCTGAAGTACTGTGCGTAGTTTTGTTTTCACTATCTTAGAAAATCTATCGTTGCTGTAGAGGGAGTGCAAGAACAATTGACTGGAATTGTTCCTGAGATGGTGGAACTGTCTCACAAAGAGAGATTGGGGAACTCGGCCTATATTCTCTTGAGTTTTGAAGAATGAGAAGTGGTCTCATTGAAACGTGCAAAATACTGAAAGGAATAGACGCAGGCAAGATGTTTCCTCTGGTTGGGGAGTCTAAAACCAATTAAAAGCAAATTAAAAATCAGAGGAATGTTATGTAGGCCTGGGAAGAGGAGAAATTACTTTACTCAGAAGCATATGACCTTTGGAATTCTCATTCTTTGAGACTGTTTAAGATAGAGTCTGATAGATTTCTAATTTCCAATGGTGTAAAGGGGAAGTCGTGAGTAAAAGTCGGATTTTGATCAGCCATAATTGTTAAATGGCAGGGCAGGCTGAACAAGCTGAGTGGCCGACTCCTGTTTCTAAGTTCTTAAATAACTAATTATTTTTGTCTGTTTTCATAGAAGAAAACATAGAAAATATTATGCAATCAAAGGACTTGTGAAACTGAAGAATGAAAATAAAAATGGTATTATTAAAGATGTAGTACATGAAATATTGATTGGATTGAAAGATGACAACTTCATTGGGCAGCATCCCAGACAATAGTAATAAAAATAATGGACACATTTGTGGCTATCTTTCAAAATTCAGGATTCTGCGAAGGCCCCTGCAGACTGCAAAGGAACAAATCCCTTTTTCCAGACCTTGTTCTATGGTCAATCACCCAAGGCATGGCTCAGTCTTACTCATCAGAGACTAGAAGGACTTAAAAAGTTCCACGTATAATTTCCTTAAGGTATGCGTCCTGAATGAATTTGCTCAGAATTTCCTGGAATAATGTGACTAACAAGTTAAGTTGAAGTTCATGCTGCATTTTGACCTGTCATGTTATGTTTAAATTCTCTGAGAATCTCATGAGCACATCTCAGGAAGTGAAAACCAGTTTCATGGGAAAATATGAAGGAGAAACAGGAATAGACAGTATGGACCCTTGTGCCCACTCTGCCGTTCTGGACTCCCCGGTCACCAAAACCATGGTTGATCCTCTGTCTCAACTTCGCTTTCCTACTCATTCCAAAATCTCTCGATTCTTTGGGAGACCAAAAATGTGTTTGTCTCAGTCTTAAGTAATATTCAATGATGGGGGATTCACAATCTTGTGAAGTAGAGAATTCCAAAGATTGACAACATTCTGAGTGAACAAGTTTCTCCCATCTCAAGTCCTAATGGTTTGACCCTTTACTCCATAACAAGGTTCCCACGTTTCAGATTTCCCAGCCAAGAGAATCAGTATCTATCCCGTAAAACCCTATCAGACTCTTGTACGTTTCAATGAGATCACCTTCTATTCTTCTAAACTCCAAAGAGTATAGAAACTACTTTCTCAGACCCCACATTATTGGACAATCCTCTTTTCCCAGAAACCAATCCGGTGATTCTTTGCTGTATCGCCTCCAATGCCGGTATGTCCTTCTTTAGATATGAAGACCAAACCTATGCACAGTATTCCAGGTGGTATCTCACCAAACTCCTGTCCAATTGCAGCAGAATTTCCTTATTCTTGTTCTCATCCCCTTGGAATAAAGGTGAAGCAAGTGGAAATCAGCTTGGACACATGGACCCCAACAAAATATTGAACTTACACTGCAATCTTTAAGTCTATTTTGAACATGGAGATTGCAATTTGACCATTAAAGATATTTTATGCCTATTAGACACTGGGAGGTTGAAGAAAATATAGTCAAAGAGGGAAGAAGGTGTGTAGATCCATTTCTATCAGGGCTGTTGTGAGCATATGGGATGGCAGGATAGACATATGAAGAGAGATCGGATCAGTTAGATGATATTCACTGGATTTTACAAGAATGAGGGGGGAGGCAATGTAATAGTGGCAATATTTCTGAACTGTTAGTCCAAAGACCCAAGTAATGTACTACGGCCTCAGATTCTAATCCTGCCACAGCAGATGGTGAAATTTGAATTCAATAAAAATGTGGAATTAAGAATCTAATGATGACCGTGCAACTATTTGCGATTGTTGGAAAAAGACCCATCTGGTTCACTCGTGTACTTGAGGGAGGCAGAAGACAGGAAACTATAGGCTGATTAGCCAAATATCGGTCATTGATAAGAGTGGATTATTAAGAATGAGATTGTGGAGTATGGGGAAATGCATGGTAAGATGGGGTGAGTCAGCAGGGGGAAGTCATGCCTTGTGAAATCTGTTAGAATTCTTTGAGGACATAATGGGCAAGTCAGACAAAGGAGAACCAGTGAATGTGATTTATTTGGATTTCCAAAAGGCCTTTGACAAAGTGCTGCACAAGAGGCTGCAAAATAAGATAAGAGCCGATGTTGTGTGGTGTTGGAGGAACACAGCAGGTGTTCCTCTGATGCTGCCTGACCTGCTGTGTTCCTCCAACTCTACACTGTATTGACTCTGACTCCAGCATCTGCAGTTCTTGCTATCTCCGAAAAGCCTATATTGTTAGGGACAAGATACTGGCACGGATAGAGGATTGGTTGATTGGCAGAAGGCAGAAATTGGGGATAAAGGGGTCTTTTTCAGGATGGCAGATGGTAACTAGTGGAGTTCCACAGGGGTCATGACTATTCACGTTATACATTAACGATCAGGACAAAGGAACTGAGAGCATTGATGCTAAATTTGCAGATGACACAAAGATAGGTGGAGGGACAGATAGTATTGAGGAAGTGGGGAGGCTGCAGAAGGATTTAGATAAGCTCGGCAAGTGGACAAAGAAGTTGCAGATGGAATACAATGTGGCAAAGTGTGAGGTTATACATTTTAGTGGGAAGAATAGAGGTGTAGGCTATTCTCTAAATGGGGAAAGGCTTTGGAAATGTGAAGCACAAAGGGACTTTGGAGTCCTAGTTCAGGATTCTCTTAATGCTAACATGCAGGTTTAGTTAGCAGTTAGGAAGGCAAATGCAATGTTGGCATTCATTTCAAGAGGTGTTAGGGGTGCCCATGACTGAGCAGCACAAAATGACCTGACTAACTCTGCAGAACATGGCTGACAGTAGGTAGAAAGCTTGGGAAAAATATTTGCTTAAATATAATCTCCGCAAGTAGAACAATATAGGTCTGTGCAATCAAGAGCTTGAATTGAGATGGAATATTCAGCTCCAAAACAATGGATAATTTGTTGTTTTTCTTGAATTATTTACAATATTAAGATTAGGTTCCAGTTAAAGATTCTTCAGATAATCACCAAGATAGGTTCTGGAGTAGTCGTAGATCCACATATATCCAAAAATCACTAAAATATTAAAGGAAAAGATTCAAATAAAGAGAATGGAAAATTTAAGAGAAAGTCAGTCTCAAATAGAAAAACCAGCCCCTTTGTTAGTAAAGGGAGAAAATGAACTGATGGTACAGAGACTCGCAGACATTGGAATGTGGATTTAATGAACCCGTTATGGGAGTCGCAAGGATAAAGATAGGGGTACCTAGTAAAAACAGTAAGAAATAAATTGTCCACAACTCATTTGCTAAAGAATGCCAACAGTAGGTGTAAACATAAAACTTTACATATAAATAACTTTATAGTAGAACTAATATTATGAATTTTGTGGCAGCGAGTAAGAACTATCTCCTATAATTAGGGCAGTGGGAAATATAAAATGAATAACAGAATTCAAGCAGTCTTTAGAGAAAAGGAAGTCTGGGACATGTCCAAAGGAGTATAACCATTAACTTTGGAAAGTGAATCAATAGGATGCATTGTAAGATCCCAAGGCCTGATGATTACAATATCTGGTAAACATCACGAGATCATGGAGAACCTAGGGCTGTCCATAGAGGTGTCCATCATTGATCAAGTGTTTCACAGGATTAGATGTGTAGATTAAGGAAGAAAGAACAATCACAATGTTGCATGTAAATATTGTAACATGAAATGTATAAAGATACTGTATCCCACTGGGAAAATCAGAGCAACATTGAATTCTCTTCCAATCTGAGCTATAGATTAAGGGGCTAATTGAGCCCTTATGTCAAGGCCAGATCCTGGTTGGTCTCTGGCCTCTCTCTGCAAGACACTGGTGTTTGCTTGAATAAACTACCACGTGCCTGAACTCTGCTGCCTCTAGAATTTTGTTCTGGTCGGGGTGCTCCGACAAGAGGGTTCAAAAACAAGAGCTTAGATATACTGCTAAAGCTGTATAAAGCTCTGATCAAACCTCATATGGAATATTGTGAGCAGTTTTAGGCCTGTATCTGATGTGTTGGTGTTGGAGGGGGTCCAGAGGAGGTTTACAAGAATAATCCCAGGGATGAATGGCTTGTCATATGAGGAATGATTGAGTCTGTACTCAAATGGAGTTCAGAAGGATAAGAGGGTTCTCATTGAAACTTTCAGAATACTAAGGGGCCTGGATAAAGTGGACTTAGAGATGTTTCCACGAGAAGGAGAGACTAGGACCCGGGGGTATAGCGAAAGGACATCCCTTTAGAACTGAGATGAGGAGGAATTTCTTCAGTCAGAGGTTGGTGAATCCATGGAACTCATTGCTGCAGAGGGCTGGGAAGGCTAAGTCATTGAGTGTATTTAAGACAATGATAGATATGTTCTTGATTAATAAGGGGAGCAAGGATTAGGGGAGAAGGCAGAAGAATGGGGTTGAGAATGGGGCCACAGTCAAATGACGGAGCAGACCTGATAGGCTGAAAGGCTATCTAGGTTTCATGGTTTATGGTTTTACGGTTATGGTCTAAGGCAAGGGATAGGCCATTAAGGGCTGGGATGAAGATACATTTCTTCAACCTGAGACTGGTAAGCCTATGGAATTCTCTGCTGCAGAAAGTGGTAGAGGCAGAAACACTGAATTTTTCAAGAAGGAGTTAGTTATAATTCTTAAGGCTAAAGGGATCAAAGAGTTTAGAGAGAAGGCAGGGACAAGGTATGGAGTTGGAAGATCGGGCGTGATCATATTGAAGGTGGATCAGGCTTGAAGGCCGAATGGCATATTTCTGTTCCTATTTTCTACATTGCTTTGTTTTAACATGAATTCCCTGAAAGCAGGTAACAATGTAGCTTTCTTCAGTGATATCAATGAAGAATACCACAGAAGCCATGCAGATATTGGCATGGGATGCTGCCTGCTCCCAAGCAACCAATGTAAGTATCTGTGACATTGCATGAACAAATTTCTTCCACAAAATGTTTTTTCCATTTTTAGTACAGATCTCTCTACAACCATGAAGAAGTATTTGAAAAGAGAGAAAACATGCAGCAACTCTCAGTGCGAAGACATCGATAACTTCAGTTGATCAATCTGTTGTGCTGAGAGTTTACAATAAACCATTCTCACCGCATTGGGTTTCAGAACATCTCAGACAATGAGTATGAAAATCAAAAACACAAAGTTATTACCCTCCAGGTTTCCTCTGATGAGTGACTGCTTTTCAATGATGATATTGTTGATGTTGCTGTTGAAGTTGGAGTTTTCGATGATGTTGCAGTTAACAATGATGTTGGAGTTGATGTTGTCGATGGTGTTGGTGTGGGACGCACTGTTGTTGGTTCACTGCATTCTACTGTAACACTCTGGATCTCGCCAGCTTCAAACATGACTTGGCTGGTGCAAGTAGCAGCTTTCTATAGATATAGAGAGGGGGGACTGGAATTCAGTCATAGTGCTCCAAAACAGAACAGGTCTTGCCGTAACACCACTTCCAAAACTAATCAGCTTTTCTCTTGCAATTGTCATTGTCAACAAATTAAATATGCATGCAGCTAGTCTTCCCCACCATCACCACCATCACCACCCCATGCCTAGCACCATCGTTAATTATTCATTCACAGGAAGAGGGTGTTACTGCCTAGCCCAGCATTTATTGCCCAGAGGGCAGTTAAGAGTCAACCACATTCCTGTGGGTCTGGAGTCACATGTAGGCCAGACCAGGTAAAGATGGCAGTTTCCTTCCCTAAAGGACAATGGCAAACCGGATGGAATTTTCCGACAATCGACAATGGATTTATCATTAGGCTCTTAATTCCAGACGTTTTTTTTGATTGAAAACAAATTGCACCATTTGCCATGGTGGGTCTTGAATGTGGGAACCCCAGAACATTATCAAGGTCTGCAAATTAACAGCTCAGCACTAACGCCACTAGGCCATCACCTCCTATTAATAAGTACCCAGAGAGGCCAAACCACCTCACCCCCACAACAACTGCATCCCTCTCTCTGGAAAATGTCTCAGTCCAGACTGAGTGGCTCTGCCATGGTTCAGTGACACCTCACTGCAGGTTGTTGTCCAGACTGTCTCAGAAAGGCAGGAACTCCTGATTCCCAGAGGCGGTTAGGGATGTCCTCCAATGTGGCTGTGGTGGTCTGGATAGAAGCAGCATTGCAGGTCAGCTGTTGTGTGGTCCATGCCTGCTCTAGCTGCCAGAGGATGAGGGGGAGGTCTCCTGTACTCCATACGGGTAAACAGGACTGGCTGTTCACAACCAAGTAACACTTGTAAGGGCATGAAGTGAGCGCAGGGAGATGTCAGATAGAAGGATTGCATGCATCAACATCAGATAGGCAATGGGAGTTTAGAAAAGTGAGGGGCAACTGACTGATGTCGGTAAAGTCCTGAATGGTCTTGACAAGGTGGACATGGAAAGGATGTTTCTTTTTGAGCCAAGAACGAGGCGGCACTGTTTAACAATTGGGGATCACCCTTTTAGGGCAGAAATTAAGAGTTTTTTTGTTTCTCCCAGAGAGTTGTGCAAGTTTGGAATTCTCTGCCTCAGAAGGCAGTGGAGGTGGTATCATTGGATACTCTAAGGCGGAGACAGATAGATTCTTGTTAGGCAACGGGATCAAAGTTTATCAGTGGTATGGGGGTGAAGAATTCAAAACACAGACATCTTATTGAATGGTGGAACAGGCTTGAGGGTTTGAATGGCCCTACTCCAGCTCCTAACCCATTTTCCTAAGCAACAGAATGCATAGGAGCCACCTCATGTGGTGGATGTTGTACCAATGGCATGACAGAGTGATTGGCAATCACTTATGAACATAGAACATAGAACATAAAACAGTACAGCACAGTACAGGCCCTTCAGCCCACGATGTTGTGCTGACCTATTATCCTACTCTAAGATCAAACCAATTTGCATACCCTACATTTTACTTACTGGGGAGGCCTCAGGATCTAGAACAGGCATGTGTTCCCATAAACTGCCCATGCCCCCATTGACAGGGCACTCAACCAATATGACTGCAGGAGAAACATGCAAACAACAGAAAGGAATGTACACAGAGCGGAGTGAACATTCCCAAACCTATTAC